GCTGAAAATGCAGAAAAAGCTGAATATTTTATTAGTTGAATGGTCTCTGTAGCTGCTTTTAGATACAACAACCAAGTAAGTGTGTTGCTGAACTTAGCGGAGAAATGCAGAAAAGTGAAATGATTTGAATCACATTGTTACAGCTCAAATGCATTGCAATGACTTTGTTGAAAACTTGAAAGTGAAATGTTAAACTGGAAGAGTAGGAAAAATAGTGAAGAAGCTTAATATTTAAAAGAAAAGGTTTAAAAAAGGTATAAACAACAACATGTATAGCCTTGATGTCCTGAAATAGCTGAATAATGTAATAGTTGAATGGTTTCTGCAGCTGAAAATAGGCTGAAGAAGTTACATATCAGATGTAAGTAGTAGTGAATGAATGTGTATTAAGAAGAGAAAATAAAGTAAAAAGGCTTGGGAAAGCAGCAGAATATTTTGACTGCAAACTTTTTGACTAAAACCATGTTCCACATATGTTATACATTATTGGTGATATTATCACCAATAATGTATAACATATGTGGAACATGTTGAAGTCAGTATGAAGTCTCCATCAGACAGAAAATAATAGGCTGAGACAGTCTGTTAAAGTCACTGATTTGTGAGCAGGTTCAGGGAACCCCAATGAACTGATATATGTTTTTTTTTTGGGTTTTGTGTGGTAAATGTGAAGATGGGAGCAGTTTGTCTAAAGTGTACTTCTCTCTGTTCTGAAGAAAGATCCAGAAATTGTTTACATGGGAGTAGGTGGAATTTTTGACAAGTTTTTGTCTCTTCATGCCCTCAAGAGGCATTTTGTTTAAAATAATTTCTTAATCTTTTAAAATGTTCCAACCTAGGAGAGGTTTTCCTACGTTTTTCATGAAAAATGATGTCTGAGGAGTGTAGGGTTTGGGGGAATTTCAAGCACTCCTCCACTCTGTTTTGAGATCAAAGCAATCTAGCCTTAACAAGCTGCCCAATACACACATTAATGTTACAATCTGAAGAAAGCCTCTTTACCAAGCTCCAAAGATATCAAAAATCTGAAGAATAAGTTTTATAGCTGAAGGTCTTGTGATCATTTTAAAGTTGGAATGAAGTCTCTAGCTGAAAGTATGTGGAAGGTAAGCATTTGGCGCAAGGTCTAGGTGAAAGAGGATTTGAAGGTTCCTCCCATTGAGTTCCATTTTTAAAAAAGAGTTTAAAAAGCTGAATATTTGAAAAAGTATGAAATATTTTGAGAAAGTTTCCCATCGATTGCTGAAAAGGCTGAATGGTTTAATATTTGAATGGTTTCTGTAGCTGAAAGTATGCTGAAGTTATGGAGAGCCAAAGTATTAGCTGAAATAAGAAGGGGAAGAGATAAGATTCGAAGAACTATAGTGGCACAGCATTCACACAGCATTCACACTAAATATTACGTATGTAGACGTCTTTATGATCATGATGGAGAGGTAAAGATTTATGACGGCAAAGGAAACCATTTCATCTACATTGCACTTTAATATTGTTCTTTTGACAGTGATAAATGTAATCACACTGCTTTACTCCCTAATATCACATTTGTGGCATTTATTTTCTTGTTGATGAAAGTTGAATAGCAGCTATTGTACGGTGGCCGCCAGCTCCGAACGCGTTACCATTGATAGCTTATTTTAGTTGAGCGCATAATCTTCTGATATTTCTCCAAATCTACTGTAAAATAGCTAGCTAACGTAGTTAACCTAGGTATTTCAAACATACTGACAAAACACTTACAAGTATGAAACAAGCTAACTCTGCGACAGTGATATATAATTCCCGAACGTTAACAAGCGCTCCGGTCCCAGCTGTGTATCACTTTTTAGTGTCCCAATTTCTGTTGTGATTTGAGTTTCCTGCAGCGTTTATTTTATGCAAATCTTTAAGTAAACCCTGCACATGTTTCATGAAGTTGATGCATGTGTCGTCAAGTTGGTGAAGATGATTCTTCTTTTTCATGTGTTTTGGCACATTTGTGTTTTTATATTTGCATCATTTTTTAAAGTGGAGCACGTATCTTCTTATGGAAATGTTTTGGATCGTCGTAGCACGTATGCACGGGTCGGTCACCATAGATATCCAGACCTTTATTTTATTCCAACACCAAATAGCAAACTCTACACCTATCAGAATTCACAACTCAAACTGGGTCATCTCATTTGTTGTATCTGCATTATTTCTACATCGCTAATCAAAGTGTTATTCAATCTGAGATGAAAGTAAGTGCAAAGCTAGCTAGCTAGTGGTAATGCTAATGTGTCCCAGCAGGATGGATATCTTGGACATTTCTAAATGTTCCCACTGTATCACATTGCCATTTTAGTACATCATTAAAAAATGGAACAAAATGAGTACATGCCAGCTCAGAAAATGAGGTCTTATCTCATGAATCTAGGTCTGTAGTCAACGTGTTTTGCAAAAAATAACCAGGATCTCTCCTGGGTCACTATGAGAAATATGTCATTCTACTGTTACCACTGTAATATTTGTCCTTGTTCCAGTTATTTTTTCACAACTCTTGAATTGGTTTAATCCAAACTCAGCTTTCCTATGTGGAAGTAGCACGATTAGCATAGCATAGCCAGGCTAATAGTAACTTGGCAAGCTAGTTGATTTTACTGATGTTTTAGCACACAGTTTGTCAAATAAATGTGTTATACATTTGTGATATCATTACTATATTTCATGAATAAAAAGCGATTACATTGCTGTATACAACAGATTATTTGCTTTAATAGTTTGTAAACAAACAAAAGAATGCACGAGAACAGTCATATTTTGTTGTTTTGAAGCCTTTAAATTAGTCTCCAGTTATTTGTGCAATTACACAGAAATATTTTTTCATTCATACCACATTGAGCTGTATAATAAAAAAAACTCCTCTTTGACTATGAAAAGACAACAGCCCTAAATGAAAAAGACACATAGCCTTTATGGCAGCAAATGAACCTCACAACATTGTAAAAGTGGCTATAGAGTTATGCTGCATGATTAAGAAATATTGCACATAGATAAAAAGGCTCTTGGGATGACATCATTATTAAATAAGTGAACAGAAGTTTGTGAAGGTTAGTTGAGCGAGGTGGAAGTGTACAGATATCTGTCTGAAGCTGTCTACAGAACAATTAATTGTTCTCCCCCCACACCCATATCTATCAAATATACTTCATAACCTGCAAGCAGTCTCAGAAAAAAGGAAATAATAAAATCATTTAATATGTACAAAGACAAACCTTTTGAAAAAAAGACAATCTCTAATTGACATCATATTGGCATACATTGAAAAGTAGCATATTACATTTAAATAAGTTAAGGAAATTATTTTTTGGAATTAATTTGGCCAACTTTCTACATCCCTACAAGCTCAATGTTAAAAAAAACAACATCGTAAAGACAGCCATTTAAAAAACATGTGAAACAAGACATGAGCATATTTAAACAAAATAATGGATTTATGGGTAATGAGATGTTGATTTTCTGCCATTTGAAAAATACAATTCCAATCACAGATAACATTGTATTCAAGTCTTTATATACAGTAAAGTACAACTAAAATATCTGATCATAGAAACAGCAATGATACTGATGTTTTATTTCACAATAAGGTCAAGTTTTAATTAATGTTATCCCTATGACATACTCACACATGTCATCATTCTTGCAATTCTAGAAATGAACAGAGCAGGAAATATATAGCTTTTCCTACAGCAGACTGTTTTGGACTATTCAAGATATTTGAAAATATGTCAAGGCTATTGGACTTTACAGTAGAGATCTTCATGAGTCCAAAATGACATTATTTGAAATGGACATAAGGAAAACCCTCCAAAAATAGATCAAGTATTTTTTTCAAAAATGGTGGGTCTTCAATGTCTTCACATGGCACTTGCATTTTTATCATTTGGTTTTGGGACGTAAATCGTAATTAAGAACCTAGAGAAGTAGGCCTTCTAAAAGCCAAAACAGTCGCACCCATAGCATCGTTGCAGGGGGGAATAACTGTGATGATCTTTGTATGTTTCCTTTATAGTTGGGCCTTCAGTGATTATGAACCATTGTTGAATAAGAGATGTCATGCGGCTTTCACACCAGCGCTTTTCCCTTTCTAGCTCCGAGCTAGAGCTTTTCTGGTTCAGTTCCGGTTTCCCTTTTCTGCTCCCGCTCTGTTCACACCGCCCAGAGCCCGACTGGTGCTGCCGCTGCTGCGTCATGACGTCATCGTTTACATTGCTGATTTGCTCCCCCACGGCGTTACGGCGCTCACAACAACAACAACGGGGAACTGCGTCGGGTCGATGATCGTGTTGCTTTTAATCACACGAAGCCAGATTAAATTGAATAACGACTTCTCCAACCTTATACTTTGCTCCAGAGTGCCGTGGTTCATTGTTTATTAATGTGTTTCTGCAGCATTTACCGACCGCTGCACTGTTGGCTGCTCTTCTACGGGAGTTTATTCTCCTCCGTTAGCTCCCGGTTAGCTCACATTGCAGCGGCCGCTCTAAAGTATTCACTGTCCGACTCACACAAGCAGCTGATACATATCCCCAGTTCCCCTTAGCCTAAGTGAATGTGTGTCAGTCTGAATTGACGCTGTTTGGTATCACAACGCTGTTATGAAAGTTTCTCTGGTATAAAATGGGTGATGTTAGCATAGCAACCGAAGCTAAACTGACTACTTGCTATTGCTATCCTATTGTGGCATAAACCGTTTTCTACAGGCACATTTTACCGGCGTATTTTTATTATGATTCTACTTGTGATAGTCGGACGCGACAACCTGTGCAGCCCATGTATTGATTCCATCCGATAGCTGCTATAATACAAAACAACACGTCTGCCTCTCTCCACAATGATCAATAACAGTGAACGGATGGTCAAAGTAAGGTACAAATAAACAGAATCACACGAAGCCTGGTTAGTGTTGCCTGACTTTATAAAGTGTGTTTATAAGCACTACTGCTTGTAGGCAGGCATGACAGTCGACCCATGTTCAGGGGAGGTGGGTTTAGTTTCCTGCACGCCTCGACGTAAGAGAGACGTAAGCGACGCGACCTCTTAGCTCCGAAGCTCTTGCCCCTAGACCGACCATTTTTTTGGAGCTGGAAGTGAACTGGATTCCGGAGCTAAGAGGCGGCGCCGCTGCGGTGTGAACAGGAAAAACCGGCACTTTTCAGGCTCCAGCTCCGAGCCGGAGCTGAAAACGCGTTGGTGTGAAATGGGCATTAGAGAGGATCCACTCATAACTGAAACCCTACCCCGACCCGATTTTATGGAGTATAATTCCAGGACCAATGCAAAGTCTTACTCCCTCTGGACATTGATGCCCTCAAACACAAGGAATCTGCATGAGAAATACCAGGCCCTAACTGACTCTAATTTAAAATCATCCACGTTGTTAGAAAACAAGATATAAGCTGCATATCTAGGGCGGGCAGATTATTTAGAAAATGACTGTAAAAAAACTGTTACCAAATGAAGGGTCAGTTCCCTTCTTTTGTACAAAAGAGCCAATCAAATGAATCAGGTAGTTTACAAACACAATATCACCGTTCAACGTTTACCGTGCACAAACCTTCTGCGCATAGATAAAAATGCAAAAGACCACCTTGGCCAGAACCAACTGAAATCAATATAATTAATGACAAGTATGGTTAAGATCACATTAGAGACCCAGTCCAACTGTGGTTCCAGTTAGTCTTGAACACAAGGACCTAAGTGAACCCATGAAGACCTCTTATCTCTAATTCATCTGACTAAACAGCGGGAAAAAGAAGCACTGTATGAGCCAACAGACCTCCAATAAAGCTAAAATAGTTTAGAGATACTTTGACAGATTTTAAATAGAAATACCCTCTAGTATATATTTATAGTTTTCCTTTTAAAGTTTGCGACTCTTTTATTTGAATGTTTTGTGAGGTATACTGTATCATCTATCACTGAACGGAATTTTACTGCTGGTTCTGCTGGTAAACTATAATCAATAATATTGCACAAACACGTGACATTTGACAAAAGCATGATTGTTCAATTAAGAGCACATGGGATTCCATACAATAAGGCATTGCTTTAATGAAAACATCTGGACAAACAGGTCACAGTTTTAAGTAATGCTTGATTATGATGTCCTCATTAGTACTGATTGTTTCAGTCAACACATCGATGCAAAACTACGGCTCGACCCATGCGCTCCGACACAACGAGTACCTGATATGTAGAGATGAAAGCAGCTGGCCAATCACAAACCGAGCAGAAAGGGCGGTGGAGCGTCATCTTCGTGGATGACAAAAGATGTGTGAACACAAATTAATCAGGTCAAACAACCATCAAGCTTCATTTCCACCTGCAGACTTAAGCTGCCAGCCGACGGTGGTAAAAGGTTATTTCATACGCAATCATTCTATGCTACAAGCACAGTAGAAAGAAAAAAATACTTCCCATATACATATTACATCCACATATTTTGCGGACATCTGTGGAAATAATATTCATTTGGGATCTTTGCCTTATCTAAAACTAAAAGTATTAATTGGGAATCTAAGAAATATTCCAGGTGGGAGAAAACCAAACCAAACAATATAGTCAAAGGGCCAGCTTTTCTTGTTCTAATGCTGCTAATATAGCCTATTTACAATCATCTATTGTATGCAACAGAAATAGCCTCTGTTTTAACTATTAAGGTGATATGTCCTGGCCGTTTACCAAAGAAGAAGAGTCAATTAAATCAAACAAAAAAGGGAATTCAGTAATTGTGCTTTTTAACCCATAAATCCACTTCTTCACTGAAAGGGGACGAGTTCAAGATCTTGCACCACTTGAAGTGCTTACATCAGTCAATGAGAATCTCTAAAGCTATAACAAGGACTGAGAATACAAATAGTAAATATAGTATATTTATATATTTATAAAGTTGATACAATTCCTATCCAGTCCCATGTCCAGTTTAAAAAATATTTTCTTCAGGCCGTCAAACGTCTGACATGAAGGATCCCTCTTTGTGTCAACACGCAAAGCCCTTATGATGCTCTAAGAGAGAGATGTCTTTGCTGGGGTTGATTATTGATGACACAGGAAGCTTGTGCTAAAAAGCTGGAAGAGTTTTTTTAATGTAGGAGGTTGTTATAATAAGAAGACCTCTGCACAAGAGATTTGCTGATTTTGAAGATTTCTGTTGACGTCTGTGTCTCAGGAATCCTTCCACTCTGTGGTTAAACAGTTACTTCGTTCTTGCTGGCAGTGCGGTATGTGTGGTGGTGGCCGGGAATGTACTGTAGTTGGTCCACGGTGTGTGTTCGTCGGGAGGCAAACGCCTGCCTTTTAGATGTCGGCGCTTGGTGGTTGACCGTCAGCGTGTTGTAGGAGTCGGTAGAGGCAGTGGGTTGAGAGTGCATCTTGGTCATCTTGTGGCGGTCCATGGTGGGCGTGACGGGCATCAGCATGTCGGCGTGAGACATCGCCCGCGCCATCGCCTTCTCCCGGAACTTGTCGCGCCTCATAGCGGGGGACAGCAAAGGATCCTGGGATTGGAGGCGGTCTGCTGACAGCAGCTGCTCCTCTGAGAGGTGCCGGCTGCTGCTGTATGATGCAGCTGCCATGACGCCGTAGGACGATAAGCCATAGTCCCCACGACGTGGCGTCCTGGGAGGGGACAGGACGTGATCCTGGGACATGGCCCTCTGGACTCGGCGGGGACGCTGCCGCTGTTGGTGCTGTTGGTGCTGTTGGTGCTGTTGGTGCTGTTGGTGCTGTTGGTGCTGTTGGTGCTGCTGGGGTTCTGAGTTTAGCTTCACCATGTGGGTTGGTCCCCGGCCGCCAAAGTCAGGATGATGATGCTTCCTCGTGTAGTACTCATCTACATCCTTATCACCTGAGGAGAAAGAATATGGAGATTATCAGAGAGAGACAACAGCATCAAGACTCCTGGCCTTGCTTGGAACAAATACAACCTTAAGCTGCCTTCACATGATAAGCGATTAGCTCTATGCTTACCACATAGTAGGGTACAGAGAACGGCTGATTAGTTCTTCTTCTATGGTTGACTCCCTTGTCTCCGCGTGCGGCTTCACATAGATTTTACTCTTGGTTATGCTTTGAAAGGTCGAGCTGGCAGTACCACCACTGTTTCGGGCTCTGCAGTTTTACCGCAGATAATGTGACGGCAGCTTTACACAATACCAGTACTTTACAGAACAGTAATTTGGAGTCTAAAATTACATATTTGATCATCTTTTTAAACAGATGTCTGGATATGAATGCAGAACACTATGGGCAATGGCATACTATTTTGAATGTTGGTATTAGTTTCTAGTCCGAGTAGTATTGATCAATCACTTCTGAACAGGCATTGGTTGTATGGAGAAGAACAGAGAGAACATTGGAACCCATTTGCCAAAACGAAATATCAGAACCCATGGGGATATTGTCTGACGATCATACGGCCTTTTATTCGCTTTTTATTTTATTTTAAATTGGCTTCTTCAAAACACCTGGTCATAGACATTGAATAGCAAATCCAGCTCCATTCATTGTCTCAAGTTGCTAATTGGACTTTAAACAATGAACAGCAAACAGAAAAGGAAGTTTTGGCTTGAACATTCACTGGCTACATGGGAACCCCCTTGAAATATAGCCCCAAGCCCCCAAAAGGTTATTGATGTCAGAAGCATAGCCAATGGGTTCCAGGATTAATCTTTTTACAATGTTTAGCTCAAACAAATGTCTTGCCGAAGGTGTATTCTACTGTTGTTCGTGGTTAGCACATTTCCTAGAAGTCCTTTCAACGTTGGTTTATTCAGAACAAACCTATATTTACAGGATATTTGCTATAGTACACATATGGGGACGTTTTTATTCGCAGGGCAGGGGCAGCAAGACCATAAATAACAAACAAATAACCTTTTCTTTTTTACAGATTTCATTCATCAAGACAACAAATTATTGCAAACCATGCAGGAGCATGCAAAAGCCCTCTAGGACTTGCAGATGTATATGCAATTTGCAAGTTACAATCATTTGAGAAAAGTAATGCTTTCACAATGAAATCTGCATATAAGCAGTGCTCACAAATCACGTTTGAAACGGCCCAGAGGACCACAAGTGTAGACACATTAGTCTCCATTATATCTGTCCCGCACATTCTGGCTGCTGTTGAACGGATGAGGTGATAATGGTAACCAACACAGTAATTGGAGAGTCCTTTCAAACATGGCCTTTTTTTTCATAAAAAACAGAACAACAGTAGACTCTTATCAATGTAATTTTCCATTAGTGTGAAGAGGACTCATCATTTATACTCAACGCAACAATACTCAACAGTTCATGAGCTGGTTGTGCCTGAACAGGCCTCTACCAGAAAGCAGGTTGGTTTGTCCACTGGGTGTTCCGTTACAGTCATGCTCGGCTCTATTAAACATGGGAGGCAATTAGCTCTCAGCTGTGTATCTACCTGTTTTTGTCATTGCTGGCACACATTGGGACGCTACCACAGAAGCTCTCTGATGAACTATTGGTGCTGAGGGGTCGTTACCTCTTCAGCAGTTAATTATTGCAGAACCCTGAGGTTGAATGGCCGTTTTAGGACCGTGTCACGCTTCACTGGGTCGTGGAAAAGAGGGATGATGGGAATTGTGGATGTGGATGCTCGGCTCTCTGGAATAGATGTCACGCCTGGATACAGAAGGTCACCTTTTGTCCCGCTATCAGGGGTTTCATGTCCACTGCTCTGTGCATTCTTAATGAAGGAGGGCCAACTTTGGCTCATGGCAATGTGCTCCAGCATTTTTTCCCTAAAGACTTGGTTTAGATGTGACATTATGGCAGAAAATGTCAACCAAACTCAACCAGAGGCTACAAATATAAAGACAATTGAGAAGTTATGCCCCATAGCTCCTTTGATAGGTCAAACTGCAGCCAGTGTCACAGATTTGTAGTGATTATAAACTCAAATGTTAATGTGGCAGGAGTGTATTATGTCCTGCTATCAAAAGAAAATACATCTAACATAAATTCTCAAATAAAGGGCGGGTCTTCGATAACAGACAGAGCCGTGACAACCAACCAATAAGGACCAACTTTTCCAGGTGCTTCAATATTTTGATATTTAGTTGGCCACCAAAAAGTTACTGCCAATAAAACTCTGACTTTCCAAGCATTGCATTTGAAACATTTGCAACATGGTAAATGATGTGCTCATCCACCCCAAGAAGAAAACATACCCTAACCCTAACCCTAGGCAGTCTGCACACTTTTGGGCACTTGGTCAAACCATATTGATAGGAACTTTAATCATGATTTTTTTGATGTCCTTTCCATTTCTTTTTAAATAAACGCTTATCAGGAATGTGGGAGGGGCTTTCTCATTCAGTCTCTCAAACGCTTTAATGTAAAAAGTCTGCACAAAAAAATTGTCATATCTATCGATGGTAACATTACAGTGATTGACAAAACTTATGCAAATAAAAAACATTCTGAATTTGCTTTAACAACATGTTAACATTGGGGGAAGTATTTTTCAGTAATAAGAATCAACAGAAAATCTAATCAGGGAGGCTTCTCACTCAAATATAATAACCTATATGTATTGAATCAAAAGTAATTAGGCCTCTCACTGTTGTTAAGGTGGATAAAGACTTTGGCCAGTGTTTGAGAATGAAATATAATATTAATTTCAGTAGAAGGTTTCTGGGGAACTTCAAAATGCCACAAATGGAATTCCTCTCCTAACACTTGATTTAAGACTTGCCTTTTATGAGCGCACACATGTTGCACCATTTACACTTTAAGTGACTAGAATGATATAAGAGGGGCGATGCAAACTGCTCCATCTAATTTCTGCAGCGCCAATAAAATGTAGCACTTTACAATTAAGATGATTGCGAGAGGCTAAAGGGTACCAAACGTGGCGCAGAGCTGCAAACACAGGAAATAGCTAACAACGGTTAATTGAACCCCAGCTCCCACTCTGCGAGATTAGATTCAATACAAGCAGTATATTTATGTGTCAGCTATTGATCACAGAAAACTGTAATCATATAATGCGCTAACACTCGTGAAACTGGTGGAACATCAATTATAAAGTGATCTTTAGAGAGTTTTGGAGAAGGAACATGTGAAATTAAAAGGGGGGAAGGGAAGCAATTTCATTCCTTTTGTTCTTTGGTGAGGATTAAAGGTAGCTTGTTTGTTCTTTGAGGTGTTTTAATCCATTTTGGGGTGATTAAGGTGAACAACAGAGCCAAACAAGCAGGTTACCTTAGAGCAGCAGCCTGCCTCATTGACATCACTGAAGAACACACACTGCGCTCACACACATCATTTAAAATATCAAATAAACCATGCTAATTTAATTTAGTCATAATCATTATCCCTCCAGATGGTTTAATTAAAAAAGCAACTAATTATATTACTTTTAGGCTTGTTTCCAAAAAGCCTCACCCGCGATAGAACCCGTAATTAATTTTTCCAAGTGGAAGGGCTTTGTTTAAGGGACGACTTTGCTCGCTCTTTTGACACATTTTTCAGGGCTCCTGTCTCAAATTCAAGCCTTTTTGTGGTGATTCATGTCTGTGATTTTCTGTGTGTGTACAAGCTTCAGCGAGATAAGAGCAAAGCCCAGAGTTGATAAGGGAGAGAGGAGTAAAACGTATAAAAGACACATTTTAAATGCGCTGAAAGGAGATTGTACCAACGCATGTTGTTCTATCGCAGGACCAATGGCACATTCAAATGGCTTTCCAAGTCTGTAACATCTATTATAATTCAAGGACAGTGAATGGTGCATATTGTGTGTTTGTTACAACTCACAAGTGCTTGGAAAATGTGCTCTTCAATGAATTTGTTCCTGGAAATAAGGTTAGGGGTAAAAGTACATCAAGAGTAATGCTCCAGTGTGTTTTTAACTAGCAAATCCCTTTAAACACAGAGAAGCTTCTTGAGGCAAAATGATGAGGATGTTTTTAAAAAAAAAAAAAAAAAAATATCTACTGTCAACAAATTGGTTAAATGTGGTTATTCACAATAGAATGCACTCTAAAGAAAACCGTATGTTGCCAATGGTTGTGCTTTTGGAAATACATAATGGATGCACTGAACACCAGGCAGCGTCATGGCTTATTTAGCAGCTCATATTCAATAGCTGTTTACTTTGGTGTATTTTAAAACAGTGTATTGCTAAACATATCAAGTACTCAAACAAGTTTTTATTTTTAGACAAATGAGTCATTGGTCCACCCGATTATTTTAACGCTCAAATATAGCATTCTTAGCTGATCTCCAAAATCTCAAGAACTGACGTATGATAGTCTCAAGCGGAGGATATAGGGTAAGTAGTCCACAAAATGATTTAGAATCCATAAAATATGTTTGTTCCTTGCACTCTGAATCTTCTGTTCAAACTCAAGATCCTCTAGCGTTCTGCATCAGGTTGAAACAGAAGAGAGATGCGCATGCAGAAGTCTTCTTTAATAAACCTTGGTTTTATTTAAATATTCAGCTTTAAGAAAATAGATCTGTTTATAGAAGAACATCAGGCCCACTGCATCTGCTACTGATATCCAATCCCTTTAACATACTTCAGTTATCATATCACCAATTCAATCTAACCTTGAATACCACCAACAAGTTATCAAGAGCTTTCTAAATCCCATTCTGTATCAGAAGAAGGCTTTTTAACATGACTGAATAAATCCTTTCTATAAATGTATTACAATATTTAATGTTATAGTACCAATGGTAACTTGCCATGATGCAATTATTGCATCATGCATAAATATGCATCAAGCACATACAGAAGGCTCTCTTCACAGTTCAAAATAAGTTTAAGGTCATTCTAAAATTGCAATATCGTAAAATCCTGTTGTTGGACTGTTTTTGCTGTCAGTTCTCAAATGTTTCATGGCGATATTAGTCTTGGGTGTTTGTTCTGTCCCAAAGTTAGTTTGACAGCTTTTAAATTAGCCCAAACAAAACCAAACAGCTTAATGCCCTGAAGTTCATCTGAACTGCACCAAACAGGTTTGGTGTAAAAGTATCCTTAACGTTTTTGAACAACACTAAAAGAAAGTACACACACGTCCCCTTCATGCTATCTATGAAGTAACTGTTGTCAAGATATGCGCACATAATTGTGAAGGACCTGTCACACGTTCTGCATTGCAAATGCAAACTATTACCTTCAGGTAGAATTTACAGAGCCAGGAAATGCACAAAATAAGCTTTCATCTTTCTTTTCATCCAACAACACTGCTCTAGAAAAACAATTTAACCATTGGAAGAAGGTTCTCATAATGCATGTGTATCTTGCAATAAGTTACATTATGTACTGTGGTATGGCTTGTATGATTTCTCTCCTCATTTTAATCATTTTTATTATGTCTTTGGTGTACCACTGTAATGTCCTGTTGGCTACATATTGTATTAAGTTGGTTACAGTAGTGAGCAAGCAGAAATCGCCTGGGGGATAATAGAGAATATTGTATCTTATCTTATTATATTCAGTCTGTTCTGAAAACTGTTTTTAAATACCGAGCACCCTAGGTATGGAATCTTTCACAAGATAAAAGTAAATTGGAATCTGTCTTTGTATGAGGCAAAGCTACATTCAAAACATGATTATGAAGAATCAGCAGTCAAGCTATCTTACTGCGCAACGTGTTGATGGTAGGATTAAAGATTAGAGCTTTCAACATTAAAGGTGGGGTAGGTAAGTTTCAGAAACCGGCTCGAGATACACTTTTTGTTATATTCCATGGAATGCTCGTAACATCCCGATAGCAATGAATATCTTAAGTGCTTTGACAAAAAATCATCTGTGGAACTCGTAATACTGTAAAAAGTACAACCAATCCGTTTAGCCGGCCCGGCATTGGATTGCCGCCCTGTCTGTCAGCCTTGCATCTCTTTAGTGCACTCAAGCCGGTTTCTGAAACTTACCTACCCCACCTTTAAGTGAAGGGTTTTGAGGCCAGTTCAATTTGAGTTTGTACTTGCTTTGTGCATTTTACAAATTTCTAAATGTTTTGCGGCTGTCACGTTTAAAAAACACTTTTGGCGAGGTAAGCTTTGTAAAAGTGAACATGTTATTCCCTTGTTTAATACAATACAGATCAGTTAAAGAAAATCTAGATCAAAACCGGAAACATGCAACCAATGTGAGAGCACTGGGAATGAACTGGTCATCATCCAGCTGAAAATGTCACAGTGCAACATTGAAGCGCCATCTTGTTAGCGTATAGAAGCCATTCAGCTGAAAAAAAGAAGCTTTTAATATATCATTAAGAGACATTGGCAACATGACATACTGTAGGCTGCAGATGGAGCCAAATTACACGCCAATTGGATGCAAGTGGATGGGAATGAGTATGGAGGCTATAGAGCATTGTCATGCATTTTAAGTGGGTTTTTTTTCCATACAAAGGTGAAACAGTGAGAGGTTTATCTGCATGATGAGCCACCAAACATCTGGAGATACTTATCATGAGGCAAGTCTCTGTAGTGCACATTCAAATGTTTCATCACAGTGAGCCCTTTAATGCACAGGGCATGAGGTTGACTTCATTCCCTGTCTCTTTTCAGTGCATCAGGCAAAAACACGACGAGGAAGGATAAATGAAGGACCACCTACTTAATCTGTGGAGAGAGGAGGAGTATTTACTTAAGTCAGACTTGAGGGCCAGCTCGTAGGAGGGCGGCAGATGGCTGAGGTTCTGGAAGGATCTGGACAGGGACAGGTCGTAGGGCTCGGTGGCCGAGGTCAGGATGTTGTTCATCCGCTGTGGTCTCTCTACAGGGGACAGGGAAGGAAGCGGTGCGGTGCAGTCAGAGTAAACTCAGTCAGAAAGAAGGGAAATCAACTGGGAGTCTTTACTGGAGGAGAGAAAGGGAGGCAGATAAAGAGGCCGGGGTTGTGAGAAGTGTGGGGGGAGAAATACTTGTGCTGGAGGTCTTTAGCGTGTAGGAAACAACATGTTGAAAAGTTCTGCTTGCATTTTGAGATGTACAACGGACTGATTTAGCTTTACCCATGTGCGATGTTTGGTCATTTAACCTACAGCCGCAGGCAGGGAGCCACTTAATTCCATCTGCATTGGCTAATGAATAATCACATTTTTACTAAAGTAACTTTGTACATAATGTGCTATAGCTAATTTAGATACTTGTTTTCGTGTTATAACATTGGTTAAAGTAAATTTTTCTATTGCGCTTGTACATTTTCCTCTTCTGTTTGTACATGTATAAGTATGTGTCATCTGCATATAAATAGATCCACTTATAGAGATTGGGTACCATTCCTGCATGGCAGATCTCTGTTCTCTTTCTCTACAAAATGTACCACTGAACGGTTAATATGCTTGGAAGATAAACTAATAATGGAGTCTAGACCCCAACCGTTAAATATTAGAAATAGACAGTGTTTTAGAAAAAGGCAGATGCTATACGGGTTGTCATAGCGAATGTGGCTATTTACACCTGTGTGTATATATAATAATGCCTAAAACATGCACCCAGGCGTCTATAGTCAGAAAAGCTATGTACACCCAGGCCCACATTCAGTTCTGTTTTGAATATATAGGTATTTTTAGTGGATCAATAAAAGTACTTTTTTTTGTTTTTTTCAGCACTGCAGTTATTTACGCTCGGGTGTATGTAACAGTTTTTACTTTACCTATGAGTAGCATTCAACTTGGCTTAGCTAGCCAAGTTTTCATATTGGACCATTTTATTTATATTATACTAATTGTGAGAAAACAACGTTGCTTTAGAGAGAGTAATTTGTGTCATACATCCTGCCTTTTATCCTTGTAACCCATCAAACATTTACAAAGTGAGATGCCACCTTGAATATGGTCGGTTGGGGGTGGAAATAGCACAACAACTGACTATTTTTATCCAGGTACACTATATTGTGTACATCAAATAAACTTTTGGATTTTGGAAAAGTGGTCTGGTGACTTTCCCTTCAAGCATTTCAAGGGCGTGATATGCTACGTGTTGACTTGTAACATCAATACCATGTACCAATCTGTTCTTCTTTGCCTTTACACATTCTGAGCTAACTGTGAATGTGTGAACTATGTCCAGGCGGCTCAAGTGACGGCTGGTGTGAAATGCCGTAAACATTTCTGTTTTGCTATCAGTGATATGATGTGGCACCATGAAGGCTCCCTGCACTGCACAGAGCTCCTTAGGCTTCAGTATTTGGGACGCTCAGTCGTGGGTCAGGTGGCGCAGTGGGTGGGTGGGGGGGCTGGGATACGGGCAGGGACGCTGTTGCTGGATTTAAAAATAGGACTGGGTGTCTACTGCAGCAAGGAGGACAAGGACACACAACACCGAGTAACATATGGCGTATAGAGGAGAGACATTCACTGAGTTGGAAAAAGAGTGTGCCGGCATGTGTGAGGGTTTTTGAAGAGCCAGTTAGGTGGAGTGAAAGAGTGAAAATAATGTGTGAAGAAGAAATCTCTCAGACTGGACTAAAGGTCATGGACTGTAATGCAGCGTGAAGGCAAAATATAAACAAGCGCTTAAAAAAGAACGAGAAAGGAGAATAGAAAATGACCCCCAGTGTGCGGGTAAAGAGTTTTGATCTCTACATGATACGTGTAAGAAAAGGTGAAGAAAGAATACACATAAACACCAAGTGTATGTGTATTACTTACCGTGTCGCATTTGTCTGTGGGCTACCAAATCCAAGTGAGAAAGAAAGGATCAATAAGAATCAAAGTGCACAGATGCTTCAACCAAACGACCACAGCGAAGGGTTTCCCTTGTTTAAAGCTAATATTGCTAGAATTCTGTCCCGAGTTAACACATCGAATCCAACCCAGCAACTCTGGAATTATTCCTAAAAGCTACCCTCCCTCATCAGGAGCTATATAGGCTTCAAAAGGACTGTTTGAAGAGTTTTATTTGGTACTAACGGTACTTTTCAAAGCCATTTCCCAAGCAAAAAGGCTGTCCTGTTTAAGAGGCACACAAGCACAAGTGGAATGTGGACCACAGCGCTCCATTAACGGCGGAAAAGTTTGAATAATGACTCAAAGTCGGTCTCTGCAGTTTTTAGAATGTCAGGGAGATATTTTATCACGAGTAGGGCCAGACTCCCTCTCGTCATTTCATTGACGTTTGGAAGCAGGAACATTCGGTAATTCCACGCTAAAAGCTGCTCTCCTTTCACAGAAAATCACATTAAGAGAAATAGATGGGAGGCAATAAAAGTAATTGAGTTTCCAATAACTGCAGCAACATCCACAGATGATACTTTAATTATCATAAATGTTCGGCTTTTCATTTTCTCCGAAGACTTCTTTGTCAGTCCTTCAGATTTTAATTTCCCCATCAAAGATATACTATTGTCCTTGAAATTGGAAATAATCTATTAGAAAAATTGTTTGGCTGACTTTCATATAGAGACAGATAACGATCCATGTCATTTGGGAAAGTCAAGTCGGGTCCGATTATGAGAAATCAATTTGGGTGTCTTTTCCTGGCACGCATTCCAAATGTAATTGTTCTGATCTACATAGGGATCTTTGCACCGCATGTGATGTCACATCTCCAGTTAAGGACATTAATGTGTTTTCTTACCCAGTTTAGGTGTGAGTGCTGTCAAATCCAGGTGGCTGTGTTGGTAGTCATGGTGATGGTTTCCTATTTTAGGACAAACAGAGTCAAATATTATTTTGAAAACGCTAGATTCAAGTGACAAGAAGAACATCAGAAATGACAGTCATTGCCCTTGATGTTAAAGGGAGAGTGATGAAATGACATAAACACATAGTTTCCCTTTTAACCTTTGTGGTATCTCCCTCTTCTCTTCTGTATCTCCAATTCAAGACATAATGCAGGGGTCTTCAATGTTTTTCATGACCCCTTAGTTTAAAGAGCACTCTTCGTATGTTTAAAGGGGCCCTTTTATGCTTGTTGAGATATCCATTTCCTGTAGTGTGTTATATAGGTTATGTGCATGTTAATCTCCTCCATTGGACTCCTTTGTTTACTTCCGTAACTAGTGACATCATCAAGTAACACTCACGTTCATTTTGGCTAGCACTCCAACACATTGTACGTGATAGGCTAAGGGGCGGGAGATCTCTAATACCTCATTCACACCAACGCAACTCCAGTTCAAGCTCCGTGCTAGAGCTTTTCAGGTTCAGAACCGGTTCTTCGGTTTAGCTCCGGCTCTTTTCACACCTCCCAGAGTCCGACTGGTGCTGCGTCATTGCGTCATTGTTAGCGTCATGACGTAACCGTTTGCGTGCCTGCTTCATAAAGCCAAACCGCGCGGAAACCCCTCACAAATGAAACAGACAACAACAACAATGGCCGATTGTGCTCCAGCTTCCTCTGTACCTCTTCGGAAGACCAGATAGCTGGTCTCTTCAGTGGACCACTGCTGCTTGTTAAGTTTCTCCATCGTTGTGTACAAACTGGATAAAACGTCGGCTTTTTGTTGTTATTGTTCAGCAGTTGGACAATCATTATATCACATTTCGATATATTGACGCTTCAACTAACAATGAGTCAATGTTGTGTAAATTAAATGGGTTCTTTTTGTTGTTGTGTGTTTTATGTTGGATTCATGAACCTAATGTGCATTTTCAGACATCACTTAAGTATAACTTATCAAACACTTTGCCGGCCCCTGTGTAGCAATTTTGAAGACCCCATGTGGGTGACGGTCCCTTTGTTGAAGAACTAAATGATGCAAATTTAGGTGCTGTAATGCGTTGTATAAATAACCTTGTGTTGAAAAAAAGTGTATAGAATTTTTTATTCCCCCCAACAAGCAGTGTAACAAATGTTATCCATGGTGTAAGAGTGAGTATCAGCCGGCTCTCCCTCCCAGTCTCCTCACTGTTTGCCGTTTCCCCAGATATGAGAGCTTTGATTTGTTCAGTGCGTCTCAAGTGAGTGGAGAACTGTCACAGCTCAGTTATGGGACTGTGAGTGTTTCTTCCAGTTGACAGAACCCACGGTGTAGTGCTACTTTGCCAAAAATGATTGATTACGGCCTCTTTACATGGTAACATGGACGCAGCCACAGCTCATGGTGATCCATCTTAGCTGTAAGTGAGTCAATTTGATGTTGCGTTAATATTGTTATGGGTTGTTTGAGTGGGTTAAGAAAAAAGCAACATCATCCGAGACCTCCATCACCAGCAGCTATGGGAAATCATTTAGCTGAGAGAAAATATTGCCTTGATTCAATTACGCTTTGTGTTTCTGAACAGCAGAACAAACAAAACATGGATATATGATAGTTGTACCTTATTTGCATTTAAATATGTTCATTTATCATCCTATAAGAGTGCTAAAGACAATAAAAACCCGCCTCTAATACACATGAGCCCTTTAGCGAGCTTTGAACAGACGACAGGGGGGATGTGTTCTGCTTTTGTTAAAGTTCAGTGCCTGTATTTCAATGATACTGCTTCCCCCAGCGGGAGGATGTGACATTTCTGACAAATGTTTTTTATCTGTAGATCTAAGCCAGTATAAAGATGAGTCTCACATATTGAAATGTGGTTTTGGAATTGCTAGCTAATCTCAACTGAAATTGATATTCAGTTAAGGTAAAAGAAGGAATGTAAAACACTCTAGTTTAAATGGATTTAAGTATCTGTGTACCATAATCATAAAACAAGTATTTTTTTGCGCTTCCCAATCACAGGTTTGATCAAGGGACCAATTATAGCGGCTACTGTGAGCTCATTTAAATTACCCTGCCATGAACCTAAAAATGAAAGCGCCAAATAAATAACAACCTTTACTATCTGTGTAATTGCAGGAAAAAAGGCTTTTTTTCTTCACCACCGCCACATACATTTCACATATTACAATGTGTGTTTAACAGAGGTTCAAGAGTTTATCACCCTGTGACGATGGTTTTTCTTTGCGGTAATCTAAAGTTCAGGGTGCGTGTGATCCAATTATCCCCTTTATGTGAGGTATTAGACTGTTATTGCTACTAGTTTGCAGCAACTCAGCCACAAAACAAAGCTCACATTTAAAAACTAATATGTAATTTGTTTATAAGGAATATAGTCCCAGCACTTGATAGATGTATCCGGGCATGAATGAGCCCTGGCAAAGTAGGAAAGCACTCAACACAAAGCACATAGCTTGAACGCACTCACACTAGATGCTGTCATTTATAAAGGCTGGATGGTTGGCTGCTTTAGTTTACTTTGGTCAATCGAGAAAAACTGCAGGAAAATGCCTGAGAATGTAAGTGTTTTCAACAAAAAATATCTGAACGAGTTATTGGTGTAAGGAGGTCAATGTTAGGAAATTATTATAACTGGTATTCTTAGCAAGACAGGATATTACACCAAGAGACAAAGACAGGATCATCATTTCACAGGCACTAGATCTGATTAGTTTAGACATTCTCTTCCATCAAAAATGACAGGTTAGTCAATAAAATTGAGTACACGGCTGTTGCAATAAACTGAAACAGCAATAATGGATGGGGTCCCTCCCATCGTTTGTCACTCTCCATTTGCACCTTATGCACATACTTGACATGTGCAGAAACTCTGACAGAGCAATTTGTGGAAAACTCTATAAAAAAGTATGTGGACACTGGAGCCTTACAGCCATATGTGATTATTGGAAGTGTCATTCCAATGTGCTGGTTATTTTTTCCCAACAGATTTTTGAACCTGGCTGCAGGGATTTGTTCACATTCAGCGAAGAGAGCATTAGTGAGGGCCAACACTGACGGTAGTGATAATATCTGGCTCACAGTTGGCAAGCGACTTCATCCCAGAGCTGTTGGAAGGGGTTGAGGTCAGGGCTCGGTGCAGTCATGTTTTGAAGTGGGCAAACGCTTATTTTTCACTGAATCTTTGGGCCATTTTCCCTTGTATTAGATAGCTGACAGTAGAGCGGCAGACAGGAGCAAAGGTGAGAGGAGGGAAAGACATTGCAACCGGATGAAATATTTCTTTTGGCTTTGTAAAGTTGAGACTTGAAAGAGTCTTCACCAAAGTGTTGCCACAAAAACACACTGTTGTCAAAATGACATGCTAGCATCAGAGGTTGCGCTAGACTTTTTCACTGCCCGTCATTTTGACGGACAGGATCGTAACATTTCTGTCAAAATTCAGTATTACCCGTCGGCCTTTACACTCTGGGGGGGGGGGGGGGGGGGAAGAGCACGGTCGTGAACTGTCAACGGGGGGCGGGGCGCACGCTCGTGAACTGTTAGCGCCGTGTTATGCATGCCCACTGCATCTCGCAGGAGTGCGCACAGCGTAAAGCCAAAACTCACGGACATTTCAATGATTTGTATGGCAAAGTTGGGTTTGGAAACGGTATAATTTCCTTTTTGGCAGGCATGCATATCACCAGAGACTTGCTGCGGGGAAACTTTGGCGCTGTTCCGAGTTTGTTCTAATCCGTCAAAATGACGGACTGCTTTCAGAGTTTTCCGTCATTGTTTAAAAAAATCCGTCATAGACGGAAAATATTCGGTTAACGCGACCTCTGGCTAGCATTAACATCTCAAAAAGAGCTACATCATTAATAACATTTTAAAGTTCACCTATCATGCAATATTTAGGCAATAGCATAGGTCTCAGATATATAAACATGTATAAAAAACATGTCCATGTTTTGCTCAAAATACCAAACAGATCACCCATTCTAGCTATGCCTCATATCCCTCTATTTCACTTCCTGTTACTAAAGTGCTGATTCGGGGTATAAAGCTTTACAAAAAAAAGAAAGAGGGGGGAAAAGCTTATGCCTGCTCATGCGGGACCCGGCAGATACTGTCTAAAATAAATGCTGCGGTGATGAAACTCCAAAACCACATCAAGGATTATTTCTGAAACACTATGGAGCTCAAAGGCTTTCTCTCTTGCTGGTTTACCACAAGGTGAGTTCCTTTTTATTTCCTGCTTCTTCACACATGTGCTCTCTCCAGTACTGGTTAGCTCTGAGTGTTAGCGATGCTTGCTAATGTAAACAAAGACCATATTATGTCCAAAACACGTCAGGCATTGATTCTGATTGCAACTTTCTGATAGGGCCGTGGGTCCACCACGTGGGTGCCATCCGATATGACATAAATAACGTCATATCGGATGGCAAATCTAGATCAGCTCGTTGTAGCCCCGTTTTTCACAGATTTGCGCACGGAGGAAAAGAGAGAGGGTTTTACTTTCTGACACTTTGTGAGTTCCCTGACATGCCGGGGACACATATTTATGTATAAAATACATCAAAAAGTGCATTTTGCATGATAGGTCCCCTTTAAGACATTGGAAACACACAATACTTTACATGTAACAAAGAAGAGGAACATGTAAATATGTTGGGGAATAATCCACAAGTAGTGCACATCTAGTTAGCAGCAGGAGGATGTACTGTATGTGGGATTGAGTCAAAATAAACTACAGTGAATATATTGAAGGAACATTTTTGATTTTTTTTCAAACCATAGGACAGTGTTTAAAGAGGAAGATAGAGGAGATGACACGTGTAACATGAAAACATGAAACATAGAAGCTTTGGACATTCACGAGTGCGGTGTTTTCTGACATATTTTATGTTGTAGAACAAAACGCGGAAATCTCTTCAGCTCGTGTTAACCACAGACACAGATGGATCCGAAAGTTGTTTAAGGCTAACTCATT